CACCAGGCTTTGAGGACAAGCAGGAGGTCAGGGCTCTCCAGGGCCTCTGCTCACTGCCTCTTAGATGTGCCAGAGGCTGGCTCAGGCCAGGCTGGCACGGAGGCCCTTCTTGCTTGCTGCATGCCCTGGGGTTCACATGAGCCCTGCGCTTTGAGAGCCAACTCCCTCTCAGCTCCTCGTACTGATGGGCCAGGAGCTGCAGATCCCTGGCCTTTGACTTAGACTTGAGGACTTTTAAACAGAGCCAAAGCTAGCATCTGGAGGGCAGAGCTGCCCTTGAGGGGACTTTACCCTCCGGGCAGTTCACACAGCCTCTCTCCCTCAGGGTAGAAAGAAGCCCAGAGATGGCCAGCAGCGGGTGGGCAGTCAGAGCAATCTGCCTGTGGAGATTGCTGCAGAGGCCTCACTGCTCCGTCCAAGCCCAGCTGTGCCCACCTCCCTCCTGACGTCAAGTGTCTGAAAACCCCAATTTCCTGGCTCGGAGCTGGATGTTGGCGGCCTGGGTATCCTGCCAGCCCCGTCTAGTGCTTCAGGTTCCACAGCTGTGGTCACTTGGTGCTGCTTTAGATGTCTGCACTCAGCACGGCAAACTGCTGCCTGGGCCTCCCAGACTCCCCTCCTTTCTTGTGCAGAAACACAGGATCCATGAAGGAGAACAAGTGGTCTTGAGAGTAGGCCGTGGAGGGCAGCTGAGCTCCTGTGAGACGTGAGTGGTGCAGAAACAGCTTTGTGCTCAGCCACGGTTTTGTCTGCAGACATGGGGTGCTATGTGGGTGTCTGTGTGCACTCACGTGTGTGTGCCTGCGGGTGTTTTGGCCCTGGGCTCTGGCGGTGGGAGGGCGTTTCCTGATGCAGAGGACCATGGGGTGCTCGTACACTCTTGGGTAAGGGGACAGGCTTCAGTGGCTGTTATGGTTCAGGTGTGGTGTCCTGAGGGATCAACTGAGTGCTACCTGGAGTCAGGTGGGGTGTGGCAGGAGGAGGTGGGCATTGGGGGCTGGCTGTGGGGTTTATATTTGTGTCTGGTAAATGGAGTCTTTCTCCTCTGCATCCTGATCATCCTGTGAGCTGCTTCCCTCTGCCACACACTCCGCCATGATGTTCTGCCTCACCTCGAGCCCCAGCCCGAGGAATGGAGCCTGCTGCCTGTGGACTGGGCCCTCTGAAACCGTGAGTCACCAAATGAAGTTTCACTCCCCGAACATTGTTCTTAAGTCACAGCAGTGAAAAAGCTGACCAAAACAATGGCATCCCCACAAACCCGAGGCTCCCAGACTACCCTGTCCATTGGAGCCGGGGTCACTCAGATTTTCAAGAGGAAAAGGGATCCATATTTTTTTAAAAACCCATGGTTTTGTTGCAGAGTAGGAGGTGGAGCAGTGAGTGAGGGGTCAGGGACGACGCCCTGGAGGCAGGGAGTGGGCAGCCGTTTCTTCACAGGGGACCATGGTGGTAGCTGGATGGACAGACAAGAGCAGAGGAAGAAGGGGGGGAAGAGGAGAGGAAAACCAAGACCCACCCAGAGCTAATGGCTCCCCACAGCGGGACCAGGAGAGAGGAGGACACCCTGCCTGCTGCCAGGCCTGGGTGGCGGAGGTGCCCATGCCATAGGAGGCCACGCTGGTGACGGCCACACGTGAGCAGTGCCCAGGTGCCAGGTGTTGCCCCAAGGGCCTGCCGCAGGCTAACTCAGTGTAAGGCTTTGGGATGGACAGGTCCCCTCCATCCCAGGAGAGGACGGAGATGGAGGTGAAGCCCACCCACCGGCACGTGGCCGGCAGGAAGTGGGTAAAATGGGAGACACACGGGGCCGACTGTCCCCTCTCGGAAATGCGTAGGACCTGCAGTGGTTTTGATACTTCTTATCTCTTTAGATTTGGGAATATTTGAGTATTTGGGGGGCTGGGACCCAAGTCCTGTCACCTGTCAATCATCCATCTGGGTCTGGGATTCGCAGCCTGAAGGTGAGTTTACGGTGTGTTTTTGTGTTGGTGCTGGGTGGTGCCCGTGGCACGAGGCCAGGTGTGGATTCCTGGCAGGTGGCACCCTGCGCCTGCTCAGAGTCTGACTTTGGAGCATTGAGTGTTTCGGGGTGGAGCTGCTCGTCCTCTATGTGGTCTCTGCCCCTGGTTCCTGGCAGGGCAGCTAGATCCCCAGGGGTTTCCTGAGGATAAGGACGGTGGACCGAGCCGTTCTAGGGGAACTATTGGCAGGCCACAGATAGTTCAGGACAGAGCTGGTGGCAGGAAGGACAAGCCTTGATGAGAAGCTCGGTGCCCTGAGCCTGTTCCCTCCACCTCTGCAGTGAGGAGCTGGAGCTGGAGTGACTCTCCTGAGTGGCTTAGCCAACGTGGCCATGCTGGGACCCCACAAAGCCCCTACCCCACAGGCCGGGGGGCTTCTGGTGGACTCAGGCACCACAGGGAAGTGGTGCACCCAGCCCCACAGGGACAGCGCCTGCTCTCAGGGTCCTCTCGGCTCCCCGGAGACGCTGCTTCAGCTGGCTCTTCATTGGTGTCTTCAGAATGAAGGAGGAACTGTGAGGGTCCCTCCACTGGAGCCTGGGCGGGCTGTTGGAACTTTGGTGACCCCAGGCCCAGGCTGGTCCTGAGCCCTCAGACCGACTCCACATGATGAGGGTCAGACTGAGTTGGTCGTAGGGCACCCGTGGGCCATGGAGAGCTGGAGAAGCGGTTGGTTGGGAAAACTCTCGTCTGGCATCAGAAGTGACGTCAGCAGAGCCCGGCAGGAGTAGAGCTGGGATTCAAGTCGTGGTCATCTGGTCCTGGGGGAGCTCGATGATCAAACTGCAGGGCAGCTCAGGAGAAGGCATGCGGGATCCTGGGGGCAGCACACTGAGCCACGCTCTGTGGGTCCCAGGCCTAGCTCGCTCCCTGCAGCGGGAAGGGGCGTGGTCGGAGCTGCTAGCTCCACAAATGGCTGCTAGGTTAGGTCCGAAGGGAACATGCAGCTCCCATTGAGGCCCTGGGGGTGAAGCAGTGGAAAACTCAGCTTGTCCAGTAACAACAATGGTGACTTGGTGCCACTGGGCTGAGTTTCTGTCATCTAGTTCCTACTGACCGAGATCGTGATGGGAATGAGGGCGTCAGTTCCGGGCACCTCGGCCTCTAGGACTTACAGCTTCCCCGGGCTCCCCTCCTCCTAGGAGAACAGCATGAAAGTGAGGAGCAGTACCCATCCAGAGGAGAAGCGCCTTAGAGAGCCACCTACGGACAGCAGACGGGAAGGCTGGAGGCCGGGGCAGCCTTAGCCATGGACACCTGGTGACGCCACTGGGTGACAGAACACCAAGGTCAGGCTCAGTGGAGCAAAGAGTTGGGAAAGGTGTTCCTGAGGGATGGCAGACCACGGGAAGCCGGCGTGCAGACCTCTTGGGCCACTGCTGGAACCCCTGAGGGCCACTTGTGGCCTAGGTTCCTTCCCTGGAAACATCTGGGGACCCACAGTTTTCTTGGGACCTGATCACTGCAGGTCAAGAAGAGGAGAGCAGGGCCAGGGGGCAGACAGCCGTGCAGAGGGACTAGAGGGCACCGTCTCAGACAATCCAGGGCTGGGTCTGCCCGCCCGCCCTCCTCTGTGGTGAGGTCTGGCCCTGCTGCTGCGGCCTGGAGATCTTCACCTGGCAGGGGGCAACAGTTTACCCACAGTTGACACCACCACAGGCCTGCTGGGGGCAGAGAGTTGCCAGAAGAAATTTGCACAAAACACAAATATATACTGTTTTTTTTTTTTTTTTTGCAACAAAAGAAACTATTTATTTGGAATATGCATTACCAGTACAAATTAGGAGACTGCAAAACCTACACCGTGTTAGTATCATTAGAGAACACAAAAGTTCAGTTGGAGCCCAAAGGGACAGAAGCCTGTGCTCTCGAAGCTTGCCCTTTCCAAACAGCCGAGCTGTGCAGGCCTACACTCTGGAAAACAAGAGGGGGAGGGCGGAGGGAGCCCGGACCAGCGACCCAAGGGCAGCGCTTCAGACGGAGCGCCGGGAGAGCGAGGAAGCAGAGGAAAGGGGAAGCATTGAACAAAAGAAAAACAGTTACAAAAAATAAAGTTTCCAGAAGGCTTTGAGCTAGGGATGGAGACCGTGAAGGTGATGTGAGAAGGTCGTCCCTGTTTAGCGAGGACTTGCGCAGCCGCGGGTCCGCCGCCTGCTCCTGAAGCAGGGCCCCAGCCCTCTGCAGTTTTGCTTCATTTTTCTGAAACTCTGGCTGCTCTCGAACACCTGATTTGCCGAGTGAGCTCTGTTTAAGATGAAGTCCCTTCTGATACCAGTGCTGCCTTCTATCCTATAACTAATGCTCCGCGCCGAGCCAGCTGCACAATTTTAATCAGCCGTCCAGGTCGCAGGTCAACAAGATGGGCACTGCCAGGGACTCAGACTCAGCCTTGAAATGACAGCATGAGTCTGGCTCAGTATCTCACCAGTTCTCCACCCCAATCAGGACTCCGGACCAGCAGCCAGCCTGGACCCAGGGTCTGCGTCCAGGCTGCGCTCTGTGGCCTCTGGTGCCCATCCCCCGGCACCTCGTGGGCTGTCTGGAAGACCTCACGGAGAAAGCAAGCCCTCGGTCGAGGCCCTCAGGACCAGCCCAGGCAAAACCCTCTGCCTGCAGTGTCCAGAGACCCCTGGGCTCATTCTGCGGATTTTCCAAGAGCCCAAAGGAGCAGCAGGCCCTGGGCTTTCCTCGGGCTCTGGAAGCGCAGGTGAGCCCGGCTTCCGCCTCGCTCCCCAGCTCAGCTGCACTCTGAAGCACAGGAGGTCGGGGACAGGGACGGGACACTGCCATCTTTTCACATCACCTTGTGTACAGGTTTCAGGAACAAAAACAGCAAGATCATAATCTTGACAATTAAAAAAGCCCCCACCCCCAAATAAACAAACTGAAAATAGCACGGAAAACTTTTTTTTTTTCTTTTTCTTTTTTCTTTTTTTTGGCATTTTAAAGAGCAGGTATAAAGAAAAGAAAGGAATTTATTTCTGGGTCTCAAAGTTAATAAACAATGATGTGTTAGGTTGTAACTATTAAGTTCACTATTCCAACCTTTTTTTTTTTTTAGTTTACAAAATGAGTTACTGTCACTTTTAAACATCGTGAAACAAGAGATGGACGTGCACAATGACACTCTCCTAGCATCCTGACCTAACTCACAAATGCAAGGAAACGAAAGAAAAGTGGGGAACGAGGAACGCAGGTAGTTTGGTGTTAAAAACAAATGCAGGAACGATGCGCGACATCACAGAGAGGAGGGGACGTCCTCGCCCTGTTTCGCGTGCTATGAGGGTCATTTGTAAAATTTTTATTATAAACACTATTAAATTCAGACCGCTTTTTTGGTTTTTTCTTTATCTGAATATACAAGAACATTCATTATCAAATGTTCGTCATCAATACTACAAAGAATGAGACACAGTCGCAAGAAACAATGGGATATGTCAATAAAGCTGAAAGAATCATTGAGTTTTTTTTTTTTAAGTTTTTTTAAAATTTGAGTTTCTGTAGTTTCATCTTTTTTGGTATCGAAGTCAGGTTTTTCTGGGCAGAAAAATAAAGAGCAGAAGGAAAGTGGGGGAAAGATGGGTGAGGGAAAAGGCCACCAGCTGGTAGAACCGCCACCACACAGGGACCTGCAGAGAGGGTGGCCTGGGGACCGCCAGGAACGGCAGAACCTCTGGGGACATGTGGTGTCTCGGGACTGGCCGGCTGTGTCCCAGGAAGCTGAGGTCCAGGTGGCCCTTCACCTCATGCTGTCTGGCCGGCAGACCCCTCTGTGCTGGTGGGGACATCTCCTGGCCACCAGGCTGAAATGACGGTGGCTGGGAGGGGACCTCAAAAGGGTGTGGGACGGGAGGCGGCCTGGGGAAGTGCTGGGCAGGGAGTCAGCAGAGTGAGTCCTGCCAGGAGAAGAGCTCTGTGGGCCTCTGCTCTGAGCTGCTCACTGACCTGGGTGGCAGTCACCTGATCTGTACTGGGAACCCTCCTCTGTGCTGGGCCCCAAGCCAAGCCTTGCTCCTGTGTGAGCACCTTCAATCTATCCCGATCCCTGCCCCTGAGACACGGCGGCCAGCGTCCTCACCCAGAGTTCCTCGAGGCGCCCCGAGGCCTGTCCGTCAGCCCTGTTCTGACCTTGACGCGGGGTAGCAGAGGCAGCCCCTCCTGGCCCTCGTCCTCCAGCATGGCTGCGTCTGGCCAGCGTCTGCTCTGCACTTCCTTCAAGGCCCACACCCTTAAGCCTCCTGGGCAGCGTCCCCGTTCTGCAGAGCACACAGAGGGCTTCCTACTTAGTACCTAGTGCCAGGTACAGTCCCCCAGCCTCCTGGGCAGGCCGTCCTCATCTCAGGGTCTTGACCTCTCCCCCGGAGCGGGGACAAGCACTTGCAAGGCCACGTATTGAATTCAAGTACGAGCTAACAGATCAGACCCTCGTCTTTCAATCTGGAAGCTTTTCTCTCCCATAGGAAGCCACAGAGACCAAAATCCAAATCCAAACCCGAGAGCACAACAGATAAGCCAAAAACCCCTACGACCAACTCTCTGTCATCCTGGTGGTGACACAGGGGACTGAAGGAACCAGAAGTTAGGAAAAGAAAACCACTGTTGTCCCTGCGAGGTACGAACCAGCCCATCTTGGGACGCTGCATCCCCGACTTCACGGATGGGGCGTGAGCACGTCAATCTCAGTCTCTCACCTGTGTCCCAGGTGAAGACAAGGCTGCCGCCTCCCACATAACCCCTTCCCGAGGTCAGCTGGCAGGTCAGCTGGGAAGAATACAAGCCCAGGGGACATGCAAGAAGAGCTCTTGGCACCTGCTATTTTCTCTCAGACAATCCCAGGGAGGAGAAACCGCTCCGACCCCTTCCCCTGGCTCTTGTCTCTTCAAATCAGGCCAGCAACAAGCTCACCTATAGCAGGAGGTCAGGATCGAGAACAGGTCCAGTCAGGACAGCTAATACACTGCACCCAAGGTGACAGCCAACTACAACGGCGACCTCCATCCAGGACTTCCTGAGCGGACTGTGGCTCCCAAGAGCTCACGGTGGGGTAGAGGCTTCCACTGGACACTGATCTTCACCAGTGAGGTCCTGCCCTGGCACTGGGGCACTGCCGGTGGACCTGCTGGTTCCAGAGACCAGGTACTCACTGCTGGCCTGACAGTGACCCTCAGAACTGCCAATGCCCTTCCTGGCTTTCAGGCCAGAGCGTGGTGGCTATGAGCGTGGGCATTTGCTCAGATGGTCTTGGGGAAGTGCAGGTGAGACTGCACCTGTTGGCATGTGCTGGTGTGCCTGGTGTGAAGGGACAGTTCACATGCTGCAGGACAGAGCCTTCTCCCCCTGACTGATGCTGTCCTGGCTGCCCAGACCAGGCCCGTCCGCGGCAGGAGCTGAAGGTGGCTGGCTGAACGCTGAATGGTCCTAGAGACTTTCTGCAACCAAGTGTTGGGGGAGGGGGCAAAGCCTGAGGGGACCCTCCCTGGCTGCTCCCACCGTCCCTGCCCTGGACTTCCTGCCTGGGAATCCACGGGAGGACAGTCCCCAGCACCCAGGGAACAGGAGGAGCAGAGGAGGCGGGAGGGGGAGCAGGGCAGGTGGCTTTTCCTGCTAAGAGGTAGAGAGAGCAACAAGAGGAACGGGAGGACTGGCCGCCAGCACCAGGAGCGGGTCAGAGGGCATTGAGCTCCCCAAACCACAGCGTGGAGACAGACAAACGCTTTTATTATTTTCTTTGTGATTTGCTTCCTTTCAGATTCCTCTAATGGTTGAAAGTATCCGTCAGTGATGTACTAGAGGGCAGGGACCCGGGGAGCCTAGGACAGAGGGAGGGGGCAGGAAGCAGGCCGGCAGCTGGAGGCAGGGAGGGGCGCGTCTACCCAGAAACGAAGGGAAGAGAGTATAAAGAAGAGTCCAGATTGGCTGAGAGAGCATCCCAAAGAAGACAGGAGAGGAGACTCGTATTGTGTTTGCCGATTGCTTCGACCCCGTCTGACCGCGCCAGTGTGGGGAGAGAAACCCTCCCTCCGGCCCCTGCCCCAGGGGGCCCGGGGTCAGCCGGGTGTGATGGCGGGAGATCAGTTGGAGGTATCGGAGTGCACGCTGCCAGGTCCTTCTGTGGGGGAGGTCACTGATGAAGGGGTAGTAGCATCCTGCCAACCTCCATTAGCCTGGAAGGAGAGAGGGAGAGAAGTGAGTCCTCTGTGAGCCGGGGGCTGGGGACCAGATGAGACAAGGCGCCGGAGCGCAGAGAAGGGCCCAGCACAGGCACACTCATCCTGGCAGCTGCTGCTGGGGGAGCTCGGGTCCCCCACCCCGAGAGAGTTCAGATCCTCGGGGCCCTGGGACTGGACGCCTGCGCCTCCCACTTTGGTGATAGGCTTGACCATCCAGCCCTCTGTGACTGGGTCTCCGCCCCAGAGGAGACCAGGGGTCCCGCAGGTCAGGAGGCCTGGGGGGGTGGGTTCTGACCTGGCCACAATGAGCTGTTGGCAGTGGGGAGTATCTTCCCTTCTCCGGCCTCCGTCCCCCCTTTAGGAAAAACAGGACGGTTGGCCCCAAGGCCCCCAAGTCCCTCCCCCAGGCCTCCCACCTGCTCATGGGGCTCCAGGCCCCCTTCTCCAGCTCTCTCCAGGCTGAACCTAGTGAACTTGAGCCTGGTGCCTCCAGGTTCCCACGTGGACAGGCCACAGCTTGCTGGAGCCGAGGGTCGCTGCACCCCACGGAGTGGCAGGCTCTGAGGTGGGCCTTGGGAAGGGGGAGGCGATCCAGGCTCCACGGCAGCCAAAAGAGGGCGGCGGGGCCCGGGGCGGGGCTCTGTGAGCGGATAGGAGAGCCATGGCCCGGGAAGCCAGGGCCTCCCTGGACCTGGGAGGTCGATCTCCTGAGGCTAGATCCCGAAGCACCCAGGCAGTGGACTCACTTAGTGACCCGCCCTTTCAAAAAGCATCCCAGAACTCAGACATTGCAGAATGGTCATGGTGAACAGCTCCCAGCTGCCCCTGTGTCAAAGCTCTGAAGTGACCGGACGCCAGGCCTTCCCCGTCACTGAGCTCTTTGGAGCTAATCTACCTCGACGCTGGGAACATGGATGTCGATCAGAGCGGGTGTTGGTGTTCCTGGTAAAATACTTGATTTTGTTCTTTTCTTTCACTCGATTCTTTGAAAAACTTGGAACACAGGGCAGGCATTGCCATTCCCGTTTGGGAGGACACTGGCTTCTCTTCTTGCTCCACCCACAGCACAGCAGAGTGCCGGGCCGAGCCTGCAGAAGAGGAGCCCACTCCCCCCGGGGCAGAGGCTGTGCAGGCCTCCTGGCCTCTGACCCTCCACCCCCCACCTTTGGTTCCCCATGGCTCACCCCAGTGCGCTCCAGCCCCCCAGGAAATCCAGGCTTGCTACTCGGAGCAGCTCCCTCCAGTGACTCTGTAGGAGGGGAGGTTTGTCCACCCCATACTCCAGAGTAGCCCTGGGTACCAAAGGCCCTGGCTCATCCTGGACAGTGTCAGGAGCACAGCCTGTCAGTGGCGGGTCCACGAGCAACGTCCCCAGCTCCCACCTCCCTGTCCCCAATGCACTCGGCCAGCTCTGGCCCACCGCATTGCTTGCCGTCTGTGATGGGGACGAGGCAGGGCGCAGCGGGGAACACAGAAGGCCCCCCCGTCCCCTGGGCGCCCAGACTCCTGCAGCCGGATCCCAGGGCAGAGGCCTGGGCAGGCAGTCGGCAGGGTGGCTTCCTTCCCCACCATGGCACCCAGGTCCTCCCGCATGTCAGCTCAACTGGGCACAGCCACACTTTCCCAAAGAAGATCTTTAGTGTCACCATCTTTTTTTTCTTGAAAAGTAAAATACCTGTATCTTATAATATTTGGGAAATATAAAAACATAGAAACAGAATCCTCAACACCCATAATTCTACAACTCAGATAATTACTATTAGCATTTTGATATCTGTCTTAATAATCTTTTTACATGTGTATGTCAGCCAGACAGATGCTTAGATGACACAGACAGACACGCAGGTGTGTACGGTGCAGGGGTGTGAGTGGGTGTTGGCTGAGCGCCGTGGGGTTTTAAGGGAACCTGATAAAACTTTCTGAGGTGGTGTCATGAAACAAATGGCTGGAAAGAGGGAAGCCCGGCATCTGAGCCTCGGCGGGTGAGTCAGGTAGGTAGGAAAGCCCACCATGGTGCCTGGCACAAAGGAGTCTTACACACTGGTCACAAATCACCACGTCACCTCATGGAGCTGTACTGTGGTCCATGGGAAGACAGAGGGGTGTCTGAGGGACCCCCGTGGCCTGCGCAGCGTGGTACTGAGGCCAGCCCTGAGGAGTAGCCCTGGGCAGGAGGTGGCAGGGCTTTCTATATCGCCCAGGACCTTCCGTGAGACTTCTGTAGGTTAAAATAGTACACATTTGAACTTTTTTCTTAAAAGTTCTGTTTCCTCAGGGCACAAAGTGCAGAGGGACGGAGACGCCACAGGTGACAGAGGCAGGAATGAGCTCCACCCCATATCAGAATGAGCCCTTTGGTTCAGCTAGTTGGAAGGTAGATAAAACCTCCTAACTCAGAGGTAAAACAAACCCCTCTACTGCTTCTCACTTCCTTCCACACACTCACACACACAGGCACGGACGCCTCACATCTGGCGACCACCCACATGGGCACGCCCCAGACCTTCCCACAAGCCCCCGTGGCCTGCGCAGAGCGGGACTGCAGGTCTCCCTGCCCCAGGACGTGCCCTCTCACCCCCCACCTCTTGCCTCTTTAGGCCACGGTGGCCTCTGGGGTTCGAGCTCTTTCCTCGGGAGGTGCTCTATCCAGGGGTGCAGCCTCTCTGCCTTTCTGCCCAAACCTCTGCCGGGTCACGACAAACCCAGCTCAGCTGCTTCCCGTGAACTGCGCTGGCGGCTTCGCCCCCGTCCACCTCGAGGTAAGGCCTTCCGCGTGGTCCTGGACACCGCCGAGCTCGCTCGCTGCAGGTTAACCCTGGGGAGCACTCCCCTCATGCTGCCCTGGCTGCCAGGGGATGTGACGTAGGAAGGTCTTGGTCTGTCTCCGGGCACAGTGGGAGGAGAGGTCTCATGAACGACTTGGGGTGGCAGGAAAGGAGGCCTTTGTTCCTATGTCTCTGTCCCTTCACTCTCTGATGCAAACTGTGCTTCAAAACAGACCTGCTCTCCACAATGTTAATGCCAGGGAGTCTGCACTGGCACCCAGTGATCCTGTGGCTGGAAGCAAGATCCATCTGACTCCACACCACCAGGCTCCACCCGGAAGGCCGCCGAGGGGGACGCGAAGGGAGCTTAACATGGGGACAGAATGTGGCATTTTTCCAGGAAAAGAAGGCCCGCATCTTCAAAGCCAGTCCAGGACCTTTTGGAACCAAATGTTTCAGAACAATGATGCCCATATATTCCTGCCCTCATGGACAAGTGAGGGGGACAAGTTCAGCGGAACGCTGTGTGGCTGAGAGGCACAGCAGAGGTGACAGGAGCTAGCTGGGGCCAAGGCTGGGGCCAGGCAGGGCGGGAGGTCCACTGGTCTCTCCTGACAAACGGCAGGCCCAGAGGCAGCTCGAGCAGCTCTTCCTTCTCTGCAGCCCCCTCAATGGGCACGGAGCCTGCAGCTGCCTGTCCTGGCTGCATTGTGGCCCGGGGCTGGGAAGTGCTGCCCAGCTCTGCCCCTTCCTGCTCGTGCTGTGCACTAACCTTAGCAGCACCCCCCAGATGCAGAGGATCCGTCACCTGAAGCGACAGCCCGGGTGGGGGCTGGCTCTGGGAAACTCTCATTCGCAGCCCAGAAATACACTGAGGCGCCTGATCCGCTGATGTCAGCGCTGGGCGAGCTGGCCGAGCAGCGGCAGATGCCGTGGCCACAGAGGCCTTCGGGCACAGGGTGAGAGGAGCCGCTCCAGGCCCTCCATCACCCAGACGCCAGGGGCACCCCACCGTGCACGCGCAGAGCCACTAGGGCATTCCAGAGACCACGGCTCACGAGGGGAGGCCGCGCCCCAGGCCCACATGGCTCTACCAAGCTCAGAGAACACTTTCCAGATTCGCTCAACACTTCCCAGAGGTTAAACGGAGAGCACTTAGAGGAGATGCTCTGGGGTGAAGAGATGCTCCTGGACAGTCCCCTGAGGGTCATCTTCTGGAAATGTTACCGTGCTGAGCAGGGCTGTGTCCAGTCTGGCTTTCCTCCCATCTTATCTCTAGCTGTCACCAGAGGGATCTTTCAAAAACGTAAGCGTGACGATGTCACCCCAGTTGTGGACCTCCAGTGGCTTCCCACTGGCCTCAGGACAGGGTCAGTGTCCTTGGCTGTGTGCACTCTCCAGGCCACGCTCCCAGTCGGCACTTCAACCACAGGCGAGGACCTCCTGCAGCCGAGCCTGCTTCCCACTTCCTCTCAAGCCCAGTGCTCTCCCCCTCCAGTTACACCCACTGACACTGTCACCTTCCAGAGGTCTGGACATCCCAGCAACCCTGCCTGACCCCTGCAGGGCCTCCTTCCCCTGCAGGCCCCTGATTCCCTCTGGGTCCCTGACCGCCATGCTGGGCTGCCATATGCAGCTGTGCCTTCCCAGGACTGTCTCTACCGCGAGGCCCCGAGGCAGGGCTGTGACATTGACTTTGATTCTAAATGCCTGCCATAGCATTAGTTTTGATAACGCCTCTCGGGGGACAGAGGGAGAAGCAAGTGAACACACAGTGGACGAAAGCATTGTCCTCCACGGCGGAGGAGAAGTGTGGTCAGGTCCTGGCTCCACAGTCCCGAGGAGCTCATGGCAACCGCCGTGTCGGAAGCAGGGCCTGGTGCCCGGAGACTTGGGCAGCCAGACCCTGAACTCTTCTCACCAGCTCGCCATGAGGGAGATCTGGCAGTGCACACTGTATTCTGAACAGGTGACTCTGATTGATTGATGTCTGCAAGGTGCTGTTGGTTTTCAGGGAAAATGGCTGAGAGAGATGGTGGGCCCAGCTGCTGCAGACGTTAGGGGCCAGGCTGCAGACTCCATGTTGCCCTGCGCCCCCACGTCCCAGGGAAAGCCCCGCCTCGGTGCCCACCGACAGCTCTTAGCATAACATGTTTGGCAACACAAAATGGCAATTCTTCTACAATGTGAAAGTGTTCTCTCTGTGGTGCCCATTTTTCTTGGACAGTG